GTCTCTCTGTCTGTTTTCATCTCTGTCTCTGAGTATGTGTTTCCTAGCGATTTGGAAAGACAACTTTTTTTGATGTTTTTCTTTTGCTTTGATTCGATTCTTGTCATCGATTTCTTCCAATGTTGTTTGATTGATGTTTGTCTTTTGATTGGAGTCGGGGAAAATCTCTTTTTTTTTTCTTTTCTGAATCTAGTTCTTTTGAATTTGGAAATTGAAAAAGTGTTGATTTTGATTCTCTGAGCGGGAAAATTGATTGATTGATGTATCCTACTCTCAATTTAGTTTGATGGGTTTGTCTTTGTTTTTCAGGTTTTGTAATGGCTGAATCTTCCAAAGTCATTCATGTTCGTAATGTTGGTCATGAGATTTCTGAAGTAAAGATAAAAACCCTTTTCTTCTCTTGATTGTTTTTAACCCTTTTTGTTTAGGTTAAGTTTAATTGTTTCTTCTTCTTGTTTAACAGAATGATTTGCTTCAGCTTTTTCAACCATTTGGGGTTATAACTAAGCTTGTGATGCTCAGGGCAAAGAATCAGGTCTCTTAAAGAACTCTACTTTCTTGTTGTTTCTGTCTGTTTCTTTTGAGGAAACTTATGACTTATGTGAGATTACTTTTTGAAGGCTCTTCTCCAAATGCAAGATGTTTCTTCTGCAATCAGTGCTCTTCAGTTTTTTACTAATGTTCAGCCAACCATAAGGTTTGTGACCCATCAGAGTTCTATTTTTGTTCTGCTGCCTTCTGTTTGCTATAGCTGTTTTGTAACCCTTTACTTTGATGTATTTTCAATTGTAGAGGTAGGAATGTGTATGTCCAATTCTCGTCTCACCAAGAATTGACAACGATAGAGCAGAATATTCATGGACGGGAAGATGAGGTTTGTAATTTTTACCCCATTTAGTGTCATTACATGAGAATCTGATTTTTATAGTAAAACATGTTGTTTTATTGTCTTGTCCTGACATTTAATTTATGTCAAATGTGGAGCTTACATTTCATCGTGGTTCTTAACCGTCACTTCTATATTCACTTCTTTTCTTTTCTTTCTATCTTCTTTCCGTCTTTTGTCTGACTGGTGGTTGCTGTGGGATGGTGGATGTACAGCCAAATCGTATTCTCTTAGTCACAATCCATCACATGCTGTATCCAATTACTGTTGACGTGCTGCATCAAGTTTTTTCTCCCTATGGATTTGTCGAGAAGCTTGTCACTTTCCAGAAGTCTGCTGGTCAGCTTCTCCGCATTTCTTTCCTCTCTATCTCTCTTCTATTCGTTTTAGCTTATATTGCATTGGCTTTCTTCTAAATGATTTGTCTTGTTTAGAGAATTACTTGAAAATTTGTCTGTTTCATTTCATCTTATTGGCCTATTTATTATAATATTGCTGTCAAAACTTTGTACTTCCATCTATCAGTTTGATGATTGTTAACTATAAGCTTGTTTGTGGACTGTTTAGGTTTTCAAGCTCTTATACAGTATCAGGTACAACAGTGTGCTGCCTCTGCTAGAACTGCTCTACAGGTACTTGTCTGAAGACTTTTTAAAAAAGTTACCAAAAAAAATTCTAGGTCTGCCTTACTTTTCTAATAACTGAAAATAACATATGTCATCTTCTTTGTGGCAGGGTCGTAACATATATGACGGGTGTTGTCAGTTGGATATCCAGTTCTCAAAGTATGTTCTTTTTTCTTGCATATGATGTTGAATGCATCTATTGTTACGTTGTTAGTTTTTACTTTTTTTTTACTCTAGTGTTATGAGTATTGATCTGGTCTTTCATTTTCAGCCTTGAGGAGCTGCAAGTAAATTACAACAATGATCGATCTAGGTATTGATCATCTTCTATATGGTTATACAATTTGATGTTATATTGGTGTTCATAAATCTGATTTGCTTTGCCTTTAAATAGAGATTATACAAATCCAAACCTGCCTGCGGAGCAAAAAGGCCGTTCATCGCATGTATGACCTGCTTTACTAATTAACTACATATGCTTTTGTACCCTTTTATACCGTCTTAATGTTCTGATTTTCTTCTCTTGCAGCCTGGCTATGGTGATGTAGGAGGTATGCTGCCTTACATGATAGTAACTCTATGTGTTGTTCTTCTATACTATTGTCTTTTGCTAATTCATATTTTTCTTTTTCCAGTGGCATATCCTCAGGTGGGTATTGATACACAGTTTTAGCAACTCTTTTTGGTCAAGATCGGTCAAGATATCGCCAGAATCTCTTCTTCTTTTTTTTTTTCTCAAATATGTTCTCTAAATGGCTGATGTTTTTCAGTTTTCCCCCTTTTTTGATCTAACCTCCTTGTCCATTCTTGATTTCTTTTTTTTGTGAAAAGTTCTGATTTGTGCATAGTTAATCTCATTGTGTGCTGTTACTTAAAAACTAGATGGCAAATACATCTGCGATTGCAGCTGCCTTTGGAGGAGGCTTGCCTCCGGGTATAACCGGCACAAATGATAGGTGTACAGTCCTTGTCTCCAACCTGAATGCAGATGTAAGTTGGTCATTTCCCGTTTTGCATTTGACAACTTGGTTTTTCTTACAATATTTTCCAGACTTACCAGATTCATTTGTTTCAGAGTATTGATGAGGATAAGCTATTCAATCTTTTTTCTCTTTACGGGAACATTGTAAGGATTAAGCTTCTTCGGAACAAACCTGACCATGCCCTTGTCCAAATGGGCGATGGTTTCCAAGCTGAACTAGCAGTACATTTCCTCAAGGTTTGTCCATGTCCCTTTTTGTGTGAATATAAGCGCATTTGAGATTGTAATTAGGACAATTTCCGAGTTACGAAGATGTAAAATGGAATTGTTAATTTTTGTGATGTTGTGTTTCTTTGCAGGGAGCAGTGCTGTTTGGTAAGCGGCTAGAAGTAAACTTCTCAAAGCATCCAAATATAACACCAGGCACAGACTCTCACGATTATGTAAACTCAAACCTGAACCGCTTCAACCGCAATGCTGCAAAGAACTACCGCTATTGCTGCTCCCCTACAAAGATGATTCACTTATCGACACTTCCTCAAGACGTGACAGAGGAGGAAGTGATGAACCATGTCCAAGAACACGGTGCAATAGTGAACACAAAAGTGTTTGAGATGAACGGGAAAAAGCAAGCTCTGGTGCAGTTTGAGAACGAGGAGGAAGCTGCGGAAGCATTGGTGTGCAAGCACGCGACTTCTCTAGGCGGATCAATTATCAGAATCTCCTTCTCCCAGCTACAGACGATTTAAAATCATGAAAGGCCTCTCTCTCTTTCTCTCTTCTCTAATAACATTAGGGTTTGATGAGGATTAATGAATGTATGTTGCTTTTAACTTAATACTCTTCTGCTCTCTTTTTCTTTTCAACGTGTTGGTTTTAATTGTTTGTCTTGATTTCATGGGCTTAACATTTAATGGTAATAAAGACATAAGAAAGAAAATGGTCGAGAGACGCATAGTGGTAGATGATAATATTGTTCTATCATCCATTGTTTTAGGTGTTTTTATAATAGTGTTTGTGAACCTCATTTTGTATACTTTCTCTGCATATTTTGAAGCTATAGAAACTCAAGTGTCGTGCAAACCTTCCATGATAAATGTCTGAGACAAGTTCGGTTTGGTATCACATCCCATCGTTCCATTATCCAGCTCGCTATGGCCAAACCTAACTTGCAAGATTATTAATCAACCAATGTGTTTTTTTTTACTTGACTATTGTTCCAAAATAAGCACAAAATCAAACCTAATCTCCTAAACAAGCGACCAAACATTTTGAATTTAACAGACTCTTGGACTCGTTGCTCATTGCTACACCAATCACCAACTTGAATCATCCAAATGGATGATGAACTTCCAATGTGCAAGACTCGGAAGATCGATGAGACGGTATTACCTTTTGGTGTCAGGAGATGTGACTTCAGTGGTGGAAGCCAGGCATAATTGTTTCATCTTTGTAGTATTGAGAAGTTTGGTAGCACCACTGCAGCAACAGTGGTTTTGGAACGATTTTTAAATGATAATTCCTAAACAGTAGTGTTTCTAGACAAGATCCATACAACAAATGCATTAAAGACAGTTTCAAATCTCAAGATCCCCCCCTAAAGACTATATGCTCCTGGTTGGTTTTCATAAATGATAAACACATCAAAGTCTCAAAACTTGAGAAGCAAATCATTTGTCTTCCAAAATAGTAACAAACTAAAACAAAAGAAAACTGCATAGCATTGTTTTAAGGATAACATCTCTCTGAGACAAGTAGCAACAGATAACCAAAACATAAAACTTTCTAAGAAGAATTGTGATAAAACAACTCTTAATTCTTGGTACGACCGTAAAACCTCATCTTCTCCAGGGTGGTCTGGAAGCGACCATGTCCCCCGTTGGAGGCAGTGTCAATGAACTTGAGTTTGATCTCCTCCAAGGCGAGACGGGAAGTCTGGGTGAGTAGTGACTGTCTGAGAGTTACAACTCTCTTCTTGGGGCCAACACAGCATCCCTTAATCATCAAGTAATCATCCTTCACCACACCGTAGTGTGGGAATCCTCCCATTGGAGTCACATCCTTCTCAGTCCTATATAATCATACCCAAAACATTATCATCAGTCGCATACGAACCAAAGAAGTAATCATAACTGGACAGTAAAAAAGAACCAGAACAGAGAAATTTATACTGACCTGTCATATTCAGTCATGGCTGAATGTGCCTCAGTACCAACCTTGCCCAACCTGTAAATCTTCTTGTTCAGCTCAGTACGGTGATGGTAACCGTTCTGACCAGCCCTAGCAACAGTGTAAGACACTCTAGCAGGATGCCACGCACCGATACAAGCAACCTTACGCAGACCCCTGTGAGTCTTACGAGGAAGACGGGTAACACCCCAACGGGTAACAACACCTTCGTAACCCTTACCCTTGGTTACACCAATGATGTCAATCATTTCATCCTTCTGGAAGACAGCTTCAATCGGGATCTGCTTCTCAAAGAAACTGTAGGCAAAGTCAACTTTCTGGGCAATGGTACCACCATTGATCTGGATCTCCATCATGTGAGCCTTCTTCTGCTTCAATCCCTTCATCTTCCTGATCTGTAGATAGAGGTAACATAGAATTGTCAGTGAGAAGAAGATGATAACATTGACACAAACATTCAATAACCAATATTACCTGAGTGTGGGCCAAAACACGGATGACAGTTGCGTATTTCTTCATCTTCTCAAGCTGAGCCTGAATGCCCTTCTTGCCCTCCTCACTTTCATACTGCTTAGCGTACCCAGTGAAAGCCTTCTTCTTAGACTTAGCCCAGTTCTTGTAGAACCTTCTCCTAACCTCCTCACTCAAATGCTGTGCCCAGACAGTGTTCAAAGACCTCAAACCTCTTGGTGTCTTCACATAGGCGACAACTCCAACAACCACCATAGCAGGTGTCTCAATGATGGTAACAGCCTCACATGTCTCCTTCTTGTGAAGCTCTACACAACAATTAAAACACAAAGTTAAAGACTTTAAATCTCAAGAATCTCAACAAAACAAATCACAATGAAAACACACAAAATAACTTACTAGATCCAGGTTTCTCGACTTCTCTGACAATGTGAGTCATACCAGCTTTGTAACCCATGAAAGCTGTGAACTTGCAAGGCTTGGTTTGGTCATCCTTAGGGAAAGCCTTCACTGATAAACCAACAACAACATGTAAGCAAAAATCCATAAAAGAATTAACCTTTGGAATCAAATTAACCATTCATTCACAGATTATCAATTCAATACTGGTGAGTAAGCAAAAAGAGAGAAACTTTATAAAACCCCAAGTAAGCATTACAGTAACAACGAATCTACATTTGATAAAAAAGACTTACCCTTTCCTCTGTGACGGTTAGCTCTCTTCCTTGGAAGGAAACCAAGAGAACCATGTCTTGGGTGCTCAAACTTCCTGTGAGACATTCTTCTTCTTCTTCTACATCAATATTAATACAACAACACCATTAGAGCAAGAAACAGAGCTCAAACACAGTGATGATTCAAAAGTCTTCCAGAGATTAGCCTAGATTCGCTAAACTAGACATAATCGGTAAGCTAGTTATACATTTTCTGATGAATTCACGCTAAGGAAGAGGAAAGGGATGAGAGAAAGACGAACCTTGTGCCGACGGCTGCTAGGCTCCAACGATGAGGACTGCAAGAGAGAAATGATCTTTAAAACCCTAGTTTCGTTTTATAGTAAGACTGTCTAGGTTTTGTGTATTCTCAAATGTGGGCCAAATTTTGTTATTGGGCCTAAAGCCTAACAGATGTTTTTAAAAATTAGATAAAGGTTTTAGATCAAATTTTCCATCGATTGGGCAGCTAAAAAAAAGACATTTCAGATTTGAGTATAATATTAACACAGTAATGAATTCTGAAAAAAAAAATTATTTCAGATCAGTGATATCGATGTTTCGATTTTTTCAAAAAAATTTAGATATGTTTAAAGAGTTATATATGAAAAAAATTCAAAAACATAAAAATTTGATTAATTTTATTATTGATAAAAAATTAACGTTTTAAACGGTGAAAACGAAAAATGGTAGTATATCATTTTCCTCTAACCACATATCTAAGTACTAAATCATTTCTCTTTTTTTTTCTTAAATTACCTTCATTGTTTTATAAACTATATTTTAGTGAGGAGATTGAAGAAATAAAAGAGTATGATTGGTGACTAAAGTTTTATTTAGTTGTAATTTTATAAGTTGTTGGTGTGATAGAAATACGGTGAGATGCAGTAAGAGATAGCGTTAAAAAATCATTATAATGATCACGTTCATTTTTTTTTTTAATGAAGTTTATTTGTGCACAACATTATGTATAAAAAGAAAAGATCGACAACAAATAAATCCAAAAGAGACTTGGAATTTACAGTGGATTTGTGCACAAAACATGTCATTCGATAGCACACTAACATGTTCACTTGAAGCAATCTCAAGAGGCAAAATTTCATTACGTTTATTATAAATGATTAAATATATATATGGTTATTCAGACAAATTGATTGCTTTTATTAATATGGCTACTCCATGAGTGGTTTTATCAAATGATTGATATGGTTACTCATAAAATTTTATCGGTGTTTTTAGTATAATGGTTTGTGTTACGGTTGTGACCGTGTCGTAACCTTTAAAGTTTAGAAGTGTGTGTGAATTGTAGACGACAAAAATATTTTTTAAAAGAAAGTAGAAATTTATTGGTTACTAAAGGGAATAAATATGACTTTTAGGTAACACATGGATCCTTTTCTTATCTTGTAATGTAGAATCACACGCTAATTACAAGACTTTAATCACAAATTATATATAGACCCATGCATGTATATTCACAACTTTCGAAGACATATCCAAGAAGGCAAGAATCAGATTGAAGTTGTAATAGGAGTGATGAAACCTCAGATTGAACAAGAATAAATACGGATCATGTTAATTAACCATAAGAGTTGTATTGATCATATTCAGTCCATGGTTGCGTGAAAAAGTGACTTTCCTCTTCTGTTGGCTGCAACATGCCTACTAATGGTAGTTGTTGCTCCATGTATCCAGAGTAAGATGATAGAGTTGGACATTGATCGATGTATGTCAGAGGAGGTTGCATTGAGTTTTGCAAGAAGTGAGAATCTCCTTGAATCGTCTGAGTTCCTACATTTTCAGGGAAATTAAGCTTTGCTTTGCTTCCTCTAAAGCGGAGTGCTGCCGCATCATAAGCTCTTGCGGCAGCCTCGGCTGTCTCGAATGTCCCGAGCCATACACGCGTCGCCTTGTGTGGATCTCGAATCTCCGCCGCCCATTTTCCCCATGGTCGTTGCCTTACACCTCTATATCTCTTTGGCCTCTCCAAGGACTTTGAGCTTTCACATTCTTTTGTTACTGTTTTATTTATTTTTTATTATAAAGAATGTTTCATTGGTTAGTGCTTTCAATATAAAAAAAAATTTTGTTTTGTTTAGAAAAACATTCATACCAGCTGAACCGGTAAGCAATGGTTGAGGAGGCAAAGAGAACTCTTCACTTTCTCTCTTGTGACCCGTCGTCCACGTGGCAGAAGCCGCGGTCTCGCCGGAGACAACATTAGTCAGCATGGACACCATGGCCGAAATCGCGGTGGTAGAGAAGTTGTAACCCGGGGGATAATATTCTGGCTCGTTTATGATTCTTGTTATTTCTTCGGCATTGTAATAGTATTGGCCATTGCCCGTTTCTTCGTTAGACTCACGTTGGTTCGCCAGTTTTGTTTTGTTCACTGTAATCAAATTGTGTTGTTCCTATCTTTTTTAGTAGAGAGGCTTATATAGTCCGGAGTCACTGGCTAATCCAACATGTCTTTCTCTAGCCGTCATACAAATAGTGACACACGTGGGGAAATGGGCATAACCAAAGATTTCCTTACCAACTTGAATTAGACCTTCATGACACGTTGATTGATTTAGCTTCACTAATATTATAAATTTTAAATACTTCTTTTGGTTTTGTTTTTATATATGTAGTACAAAAAATCACTAAGTTCAAATTATTTTTTTTCTTGGTCAACCAGTTAAAGACTTAAAGATATATTATTTATGTTTTAAATGCATGAAAATATGAAACACGTGTTGAAATATCCAAAACGTGTGTTCACACGAAAGCCTATAGAAATCGAAGTACACTTTGTGAAGACCCAAAAGGATTCGTCGGTGATCTCTTTAGATGAGTTAAAATGAGTTCATGTCCGATTTGAGTTATTGCATTTTGTTGGGGTCGGATTTCATCCCATAGCACCGAGCCGAACTTCGGACGCCTCAGGGAACTTCTGAAGACACCTCGGTGCGAACTGCCATTCACCTCGGTGCAGAGTGCCATTCACCTCGGGACTCTACGCTGGTTGCCTCGGGGAAAAGCCCGTAGTCTGCTCGGGGTCTGTCAGTAAGCTTGTGAACCCGAGCCGGCTCCCTTCAAGTGCCCGAGCCGGTTCACTTCGGGAATCCGAGCCGGATCGTGCCAAGACCCCCGAGCTGGCTCCTTTCGTGGACCCGAGCCGGTTTCCCTCGGGAGCTTGGGCCATGCCTCTCTAGTCCCCGAGCCGATTGCACAAGTCACCCGAGGTAAAGACTTAGTTAATATTCGCCTTCAAAGTACCATTTCCAAGCAAGGCATCATTTCCGAAAAAGAAGGATCATTTCCGATATACCCGGAAATGATAAAGGAGAATCTTCGAAGATCGACTCAAATCAGGAAATCTTCCAAGGAACTCCGAAGAATAAGGAAATTATCCTAATCCGCGATATTCTACGCCGACTTCAAGATAAATGGAAATCTTCCGAGAATATCGCTGGAGAGGCGGCCTATCATCCCTATATAAAGAGACTCAAGGCTCTCACTTGAGGGCAAGCAATATCGCTCTAGAATTTACACTACACAAAGCTCTTACAGCACAAACACCTTTTTCCTTTTACGATCAAACTCTTGTACGATCAAAGCTATTCTTTTCATTAATAAAGATCAAGAACACCATCTTTGGTTTCAATCCGTTCTGTTGTTCTTTGAGAATTCACGTTTATCGTATCCCTAAATTTGAACCCTAGACAAATCTTGATTGTGTTAGTTTCGACTTCCACAGTTTGGCGCCGTCTGTGGGGATACTTTAGAATTCTCTTACTCTAAGAACACAGGACTCAACTACCGAAGAAGACGATGAACGAGGACGGTCGTCAGATACCACCACCAGCCGGAGGAGGCAACCCTAATCCTCCGAACCCTCAAACCGATCCAGCAATCTCAGCGACCCTAGCCGAACTGAAGGATATGATGGTTAAATTCCAGAAGAAAGCTGACGACCAAGAAAAAGCTAACAAGACCTTGGCGCTACAAATCGATGAAATCGCATCTCGTGGGCAACACAAAACCACGCGTTTCCAGACTCGACCGCCACGAGCCCGGAGGGACTTGCCTGGTCTCAACCCGACGAGACTCACGTTCGCGACGCCAACGGACAACGCCAGAGCTGCAACCCGAGCCGATCCTGCCAGACGCGAGGATCAGGATGATCCCACCGAGCCAGACGCAGTGGACCCGACCGACGAGCCGGACGATCCACAAAACGAGCGTACTCGAGCTGGAGCTAACTCTATCGAACGAACCGACCTCACTGATGACGAAGAAACTGAAGAAAACATAAGATGGGCCGAAGAATCCGAAAGAGAAGACGAGCTCAGCAAGATCCGAGCCTCCCTAGCCAAGGCGGAAGCCGATATGAAGCTCGTCAAAACCCAGATACATAGCGTTTCATCCTCCGCACCTAACATCGACCGAATTTTGGAAGAATCTCGGAATACGCCTTTCACCAAAAGAATTTCCGAAACGACGATGTCCAATCTGGGGAAGTTCAAAATTGACACCTACAACGGGACAACCGACCCAAAGTGTCATATTAAGTCGTTCGTGATATCCGTGGCCCGAGCCAGATTCAAGCCCGGACAGAAAGACGCCGGTCTATGCCTACTGTTCGTGGAGCACCTCAAAGGACCCGCATTAGAGTGGTTTTCGAGGTTGGAGCGAAACTCGATTGACAGTTTCGACGAGCTGTCAACACTCTTCCTCAAGCAATACTCCGTGCTCATCGACCCCGGAACCTCCGACGCAGATCTGTGGTCTCTGTCTCAACAGCCCACCGAGCCATTAAGAGATTTCCTCACGACCTTCAAATCAACGCTAGCCAAGGTTGAAGGAATCACCGACGTAGCCGCTCTTTCGGCCCTGAAGAAAGCTCTCTGGTACAAGTCCGAGTTCAGAAAAGAGCTGAACCTATCCAAACCTACGACGATCCGCGACGCGCTGCACCGAGCCTCAGACTTCGTCGCCCATGAAGAAGAGATGGCACTGCTAGCAAAGAGGCACGAGCCGACGAAGCAAACGCCCCGAGCCGAGAAGACTCAAGCAACACCCCCGGTCCAGAAGAAGGCTCGCGAGAGCGGGACGTACACACATCATGAAGGGCGCAATTTCAAGGGAGCTCACAACTACCAGATTGATACTCCTCGTGGCCGAGGTCGCGGCAGAGGCCGAGGTCGTGGGCGAGGAAGAGAAACCTACACTTGGACAAGAGATCAGCCGCCGAGCAACGATCAAGAATACTGCGAGCACCACAAAATCTTCGGCCACCACACCTCACGATGCCGAAGCCTCGGCGCTAAATTAGCAACGAAATTCTTAGCAGGAGAGCTCGGGACGAACGTCACGCTCAAGGACCTGGAGCCAGAGCCGGATCAGCCCGAGCAGGCCAACACCGCAGGGGACCCCGAGCCGAGGAACACGAACGCCCCGAAGAGAACTCGGGAAAATCAAGACGAAGACCGAGATAATACACGGCAAAAAATCTTTACCATAATGGGTGGATCGCCGTACTGTCCTGATACCGTAGCCGCAATCAAGGCATATCAGCGCCGAGCCGAGGCGCCTAGTAACTGGACGAGACCCTTCGACCGACCTAACGACATAGTTACATTCGAGGAAAGTGAGACGAACGGGCTCGACATGCCTCATAACGATCCCCTCGTCATCACGTTAACAATAGGAGATCATGACGTTTGCCGAATATTGATTGACACCGGTAGCACCATCGACGTGATTTTCCGTGAAACGCTCCGACAAATGAACATTGATATGTCACAGGTAATACCGACCCCGAGGCCTGTCCTCGGATTTTCGGGGGAAACTTTGATGACGCTCGGAACCATTCAATTACCAGTCCGAGCCGGCGGGGTGACAAAGGTAGTCAACTTCTCAGTCACCGATCAACCTACCATCTACAACGTTATAATGGGCACGCCGTGGCTAAATCTGATGCGAGCTGTCGCGTCGACCTATCACCTCTGTGTCAAGTTCCCGACCCCCAGCGGCGTAAAGACAATCTGGGGCAGCCAGAAAAACTCACGGATGTGTTACATGGCAGCGCATAAACTCCGAAACCCTGTCACCGAAGCGAAGGCTGAAACAGATCACAAGAAATCAAAACTTGGCCGAAGTGAAGAGAAGGCTATATCTAAACAGTTATAGCAATTACAGATCGAGGAGGCGCGCGAGGAGAAGAAGCCTACCTCGGATCCTGCAATCTCCATTTGCCTCGACGACGAACGGCCTGAACGATGCGTGGAAATTGGTAGCGACTTAACCGAGGAAATCAAGACCGAGCTCATCTCATTCCTCAAAGAGAACATCAACACCTTCGCCTGGTCGGCTGAAGACCTACCTGGGGTAAGCATCGACGTAATCTGCCACGAGCTGAATGTTGACCCGTCTTTCAAGCCCATCAAGCAGAAGCGAAGAAAATTGGGTCGAGATCGCGCGGATGCAGTGAACGCCGAAGTAGAAAAACTCCTGAAGATCGGCTCAATCTCCGAAGCAAGATACCCGGACTGGTTGGCGAATCCTGTCGTGGTTAAAAAGAAGAACGGCAAGTGGAGAGTTTGCGTCGACTTCACCGACCTGAACAAAGCTTGCCCTAAAGATAGTTTCCCGCTCCCACACATCGATCGCTTAGTGGAAGCAACCGCGGGGAACAAGTTACTATCGTTCATGGATGCTTTCGCGGGATACAACCAGATTTTCATGCACCCCGATGATCGCGAGAAAACAGCGTTTATCACAGACCGAGGTATCTACTGTTACAAGGTCATGCCCTTCGGACTCAAGAATGCTGGCGCAACGTATCAACGGCTCGTCAACAGAATGTTCTCCGAGCAGCTCGGGAAGACGATGGAAGTTTATATCGACGACATGTTAGTCAAATCGCTCGAAGAAAACGATCACATAGCCCATCTACGCGACTGTTTTCGCCAGCTCAACAAGCACAACATGAAGCTCAACCCGGCAAAATGTCGTTTCGCGGTAAAATCAGGCGAATTTCTGGGATATCTCGTAACTCACCGAGGCATCGAAGCAAATCCGAAGCAAATTGATGCTCTACTGAACATGCCCTCGCCGCAAAACAAACGCGAAGTTCAACGTCTCACCGGGAGAGTCGCAGCCCTGAACCGATTCATCTCGCGATCAACAGACAAATGCCTGGCTTTCTACGATACTCTGCGCGGGAACAAGAAATTCGAATGGACCGATCGCTGCGAAGAAGCTTTCCAGGAACTGAAGAAGTATTTGGCTAATCCACCGGTGTTGGCAAAACCAGTCCCGGGCGAGCCGTTATTTCTGTACATCGCCGTCTCAGATACAGCAATAAGCGGAGTCATCGTTAGAGAAGACAGAGGAGAACAGAAGCCGATATTTTATGT